TCCCATGCCGGAAGGCTTGGACCTCGATGAACCTATTCACCCGAACCTGGCACATCTGCTCGCCCAGGCTGACGTGATACCAATGGAGGCTAACGAGGCGGACGACTTCGAGGTATATTACCACCAGCGCCCAGCGCCTACCAGCATATCCTCTTCCGAACCAGCCATCAGCAGGATCGCCGACGTCCCGGCAGAGGAGGTTGTCAGCTCGTACCAGCAGCAGGCGACGGAAGACAGCTACCTGGACGCAGACATCGTGGCCAGGAGGAAAGCCGAGCGCAATGAGCGCAACCGCGATGACCCGTTTTACATCGCCGCCCCTGACGCGGCACCCAGGACGTCGACCCCGATACACAACATTCTTCAAAAGGAGAACGGCCCAGGTCTCGATATAGACTCTATACCGATAATGCAGTTGGATCTCGACAAGCTGGGCAGCTCGGCACCCGGTCCCACATCTCCCATCAACCGACCGCAACCGCGACCGAGGCAAAGGGTCATCATCGCCGCGGACGAGACACTCGCCGGCAGCGGCGTTTCTACGCCGCGCAACTACGAGTCGGAGAACAACTCGGACAGCTTCACAAAGTCGCGCGCCAAGAAGCTCCGCCAGGGTCTCTTGCACGTCGACTCGTCCACGCTCGGCTCCCTCAGCCTCGAGGGCGACGCTGCGTCGTCCAGCAACACGCCGTTTGACTATGAGCGGCAGCAGCGCGAGGAGGCTGAGATGGCGCAGGCGATGAAGGAGGTCGAGAGGCTCCGTCTCGAGATGCAGCGCGCCAACGAGCGCATCCAGGTTGCGCAGGGCGTCGACGTTGCCGGCACGGTGGTGAAGAAGAAGACCAAGAAGGGCAAGAAGACAGAAAAAGACGGCGGAGCCGAAGGGTCGGCGGTCAAGACGAAAAAGAAGAAGAAGAAGGCTGCCGTCGCCGACGGCGGTGCCGCGCCGCCCGCTGTGCTCTTGACGGACGATGCGGAGAACAGTGCCGGCGGCGGGGAGAACACCGCGCTGATACCGCCTCCCGAGACGGCTGTTGAGGGGTCCGGGGAGGGCGGCTTCGACGCCGCCGGTCCGCCGGTCGTTGTGCCCAAGAAGAAGAAAAAGAAGAAGACGACCAAGATGGCTGAGATTGCGGGTGATAGTGGTTGAGGCAGAAGCAAGCCAGGGGCCGGTCGAAAGAGGTCGTGAAAAGGATGAGATGGAGAGCAAGACAATAACTCCTGCATGCATAGTAGAATAAAAAAGGCGCAGTGTTGAATGACGTACGGATCGAGTACGATCATGGTGACGGTGAAGACCTTGTGTCCAGCACACTAAGCGTATTGCGAGGCAGTGGCATGCCAGTATATTGTTTTCCCTCTTTCCTATGGCCCGCACACATCTCACAAGACACCCATCATTTCACACCATTACAGAAACACATCAAGTTTTTAAATGTTTGAGGAGTACTCCTCTTCTCTTATCGACAACTCCCGGCTCTCTGCTCCTCCTTCCCCGGCACTTTCAGTCGGGTCCGTCTTTCTCTCATCATCCTCTTCCTTCTCTCTTCTCGTGGGTTTTGTTTACGTACAGACATGATACAAAGGGGACACCGAGGGAATCGCTTCCCCAAACGTCACCGTCGTTTCGCGTTTCAAACCGCCAAAAAGGAAAAATCAAAACCAGCCAAAAAGTGGAATTCCCCTTTTTTTATGTTGCCCCGCAAACCCGCCGTCCGTAGCACATAAGTCCTTCCAGCGTCCGTCCACACGTCACACAACAAAAGGGGTGTAGTTTGGTTTGAAGAAAATAGACATTAAGAAAAGAAAAAGAAAGGAAAATCTCATGGCCATGAAGAACAAGGAGGCACGGCTTAAACACGCTTGCTTCAGTCATCCATGGGCTTGTCCTCGAGCGTCACTCCGCGGGGCGCGGTGAGGGAATCGCGAGGAGTCGACGGGCCGCTGTCTGTTCCTGCGCTGGGTGCGGCTGCCACGTGTCGGTCCAGAGAGTATCGAACACTGCTACGTCCCAGGCTGTTACGCTTTTCAACAGGCGATTCCAGAGCCTTGATTCTGGCCGCGACTCCCTCCGCTGCAGGCGCAGGCGCCGCAGCCGATCCATTGGTTGTCGTCTCCTTTGGCGAGCTGGTTTCGCTACCGGGAACCTCGAGACTGGATCTCTTGGCTCCAACAACGCTGCCCAAGCTAGAGCGGTGACGGTCGACTGCCGACGCAGGTGGGCTTGTCTGGATCGGGAAGCGAGTCTCAGGGCCACCCGTGCTGCGGTCACGTCTGTGGCCACGAGGGCTGGGCGCAGGGCTTGTTGCGCGACCACGGCTGCCGGCGGCCTTCTCGAGCAGAGCTCTATTCCGCTCTTCCATGTTGGCTCTCCGGTTGCTCTCGTCGGTGCTGATTGCGCGGGGGCGATTGTTGTCTCTGATCGATCCGCCATGGCCAGCAGTAGACATACGCTTGAGTTCGCTGAAGATGGCGTCTTTGTTGTTGAAGAGGTCACGAACGAGTCTGTAAGCATGCTTCTCTTCCATAGTTAAGGAGGTTTCCGTGCGAGGACGCAAGATGCAGGGCGCAATGCCCGTGGCCAAAGACGCGATATAAGTCTCATCAGCCGAGGTAAGGTCGATTAGGCGGGTGAAGTGGTTCATACAGGCGTCGAGTGTTGCGATATTAGTAAGACGCATTTGCGAAAGCGTCTGTTGCAGCACAGGCACGCGAGCAGAATCGTCTTCCTGGGTTTGAGTCTGGTAGATTGTTCTGACAATCTCGTAAACGTGGGAGGAAACGAGGGAGTCTATAATATTGTTAGTACATGGCTTCTGCAAAACTGTGGGGATTTTCTTACCAGGCAGTTCAAGGAGATACAGCTTAAGCAGCGCCGCAACAGTTGGGATATCGAACTCATCAAAAACTTCGGCCGCTGCGGGCTTGCCGTCATTCAGCTTGCCACGGAGCTTGTGAATCTGCTGGAGTGGAACATCGACTAGCCACACATTCCTTCTGGCCTCGTCACCTTCAAGGTCAGGGTAGTGGTTATCGAGGTAGGTCAGAATGGTGGTGACAATGATAGGCACTCGCTTCTTATCCGCGCGCGCTCTTGCCTCGAGATCCACTCCGAATGTCTGCTCGTCGACCTTATTGTAGTAGTTCTCGTACACCACCACCTTGGGAATGAAGCTACCGGTCCGGTAGTTCTCTAGTAGGTATCTGAGGTCCCCTAGAGGCTGGACGGTCTCCTGGAAAAGCATCATGTGGTCCACAGCAGATTGCATGCTTGGAATGACGTTGCTGATGGTACCAGAAAAGTCCAGGATAACAGTCTTGATGGCCTTGAGACGGTCCAGCTCGCAGCGCTCCAGGAAGCGGAGGTGAATGAAGATGGTCTCCTCCAGATCGCAGCGCATCTCGTCCAACTTGCGCACGCCACCCTTGTACTTGTCGTCGGCTTCCCTGGCCTCACGGCGCAATCGCTCCGGTGGGGTCTCGTTGGGGTGTTGGTTGTTAAGGACGTTCCAGTTGGCGAGGTATTCGCTGACGGTTCCGACCACGGGTGAATCCGACGACTCGGATGCAGGAAGGGAAAATGTGCGACCAAGAGGCGACTTCTTATCGGGGATACCGGACAGTTTGAAAGCCTTGGGACGCCACTGGTAGAACATCTTGGAGCTGTTGGCGAAAGTGCTGCCAACGTTGCCAATCAATCTCAAGTATCCGTTCGAGATGAGGTCCTGTCCAATTCTCTCGGCATAGCTGACGCTCGTCGTGTTCATGTGCCTCTGCAGGTACTCGACAATGTCTGAGCCAGCCGATGTGTTCTGGTAGGTTCCCAGAATGGGCACCTTGGTCTCCCCGAGCTTGATGGTGTTCAGCATGTGCGCCAGGATCTTCTTGACTTGCTCGGGCTGGTAGATCTCGTCGCCGATCTCGATGGGCTCGTCGTCGTCTTCTTGGGGGTGAAGCTCGGGCTCCTTGTTTTCGGAGACCTTGATCTCGGGAATGTTGTTCTTCGGGCTGTTCTCGGGGTCCTGGAAGGCCAGCTTGGTTTCCTCCTCGATATCCTCAACCAGTCGGCACTTGTTGAAGTAGGTGCTCCTCAGCTTCTTGACCAACTCGGCCTGCCTGTCGTGCGCCTTGATGCGAGCTTGCAGCTCATCCTGAGAGTCCTGGATGCGCGACTCGTGGGCATCGCACCAGCGCGAGAAAGGGTTGACGACCAAGTCCCGAATGTTCTGAGCAATCTTCTTGTGGTTTTTGGCGCCCTCTTCCATCTCAGTCCGAACACCATCGAAGGCCTGTGATGAAGGTTAGCACGAGCCTCGGGAAAGCTCTCGGTGGGGACGTTATGCGAACCTTGCGAACGCTGGCACCATCGTCTTTTGAGAAGCCGCCCTGGACTTTGTCTGCGTTTGGTGCAATATCTCCTAGTCGCTGACTGTAAATCTCCTCGGCTTCGGCACGCATTCGAGCGACAGTCAGGACTTGTCGGTTTTCTTGGACACCTTGCTGCAACTTGCTGAAGAGGACGCCGAGTCCTAGCGCGGAGATGCTTAGCCAAAGCGCGAGGGGTTGCAGTAGCGCATTCAGTTGACTTACCTGCAGCATAGTCGCTGGACCAAAAGGAATCTTCGAAGCCCGGCATGATGCCTAAAAGCTCCTACTTGTCGCGGACGATGATGCTGTGTTGATACGGGTTGAGGCTGAAAAGTTTGGCGGGCAGAGAGAAAAGGAGGCGGCGAGAAATGTTTCGTTTAGTCGTTATGCAGGAGGCGGGAGGTGGGAGGGAAAGATGGGTTGGTATTTTCGGCTCGAGATTAGAGACGCTTTTCTGTCGGTTGCGAGAAGCGAAGGAATACGTCAGCCGCGATTGACTCGGCAGTGCAGGCTGTTCTTGGAAAAGACGGCCGGCAACAAACAAAACGAGAGATAAAAGAGACAGGTGCAGGAAGGTGAAGTAGAAGCAAGATGCTGTAGTGTTCGTTGTCGTCGTCCTTTGTCAGGGGCACATGCCAGTTGGAGGAGGAAATTTTGGAGAGCAGAAATGTAAAAGGCTTTGGAGTGAAGGTGCTGGTGGTCAGTGGTTGCTGACAGGTTCAAGGTTCAAGGTTGAAATGCACCTCAGGTTGGGGGGGCAGAAAGGATGGAAGGAGAAGCTGCTTCCACCTGCTGCTGCTTTGCTTTGCTCTCAATGCTCTACCTATTCCTTCCTCCTGGCTCCTGCTGCTTCCAGATTGCTAGGAATAGGAACCTGGATCCGTACTGTGCGTCCAGCTGTGCGTCCCTCGGTCTCCGCAGGGCCATCAGTGAAGCTTTACGACGTGCGGCACCTCTTCCCACTTCATCATCCACCTCCTGCAGCCAACCCGGTGACACGGCATCACACGGCATCAACCTAGATCAAAGGTCAGCAGCATGGTATTCTCCTGCTGTAGGTACGCATACCTCATGCCCTTGGAGGGCTCCTCCTCTGCCACTGCCAACAATCTGCCCGACGAACCGGGGCTACAGAGACACTATCCGTAAAGCAGTCTAGCAATGCTGCAATGGCAACGGTCATTGGGGCCTTGCTTGCGTGCCTTGCCTTGGTCCTTCAAGTTTGAACTTGGAGACGTGGCATTCCATTCCATTGGCCCCCCTGCCTCATGACGAACGATCGAACGAAAGCTGGCCCCTCAGGCGGCAGACCCTTAGCCGGCCTCACTGGGCGACTCGGATAGGCCTGGGGAGTTGGGACCTTGGCTGAAAAGCCGATGATGATGGGAGGAGCCATCTGAAGCCAAAAATACATACATCATGCTCCAGCCACTGCCCGATCCCCACTCATCTCCTTTCCCAGTGTGTGACTGGTCAGGGCCCCAATTGCCCCCCGTTATGCTCCATTCAAAGCAAATGACCCTGAATGAGGCAGCCAAGCAGAAGCAAAGCAGAAAGCTACCGATGTCAGGGCAAGGACAGCTTGTGTGAACCCCCTGCATTCGTCTCTGTTGCAGAACGATGGGGCTATTCCCAGCTGGACTGGAGAGACTCGGCTCATTCACTCACTTGCGAAGCGAACCCCAAAGACGTTCTCAGCCCCCTTCTCACAGGGCTGACCTCCCAAACCAGTTGCCGCCGCCAATTTGGCGCCGTATTAAGCATCATCTTCACAATTTATGCAGTCCGGGATAAGGTTTCCTCGTCACTATCCAGAGGGAATGTTTCTGAAGACGTCAAAATTGGTTATTGTCTTTGTTCACTTCTTTGTTGTTGAACGAGACTTTCCATGGACCACTGCCACCGTAAGTTGAAACTGAAGAGAATTGTCGCCGATCACCAAGCCCCTTCCTCTAACCCCTGAGAACCCTCGTTGCCACTGGGACGGTTCCCCAGACGACAAAAGGCCGTTGTTAATAATTACCAAGGGCTGGTCTGCGGCCTATGTACGCAGGATGTACTAGCGAAGACGAAACCCAACGATTGCCCCATACAGTCCGTAATCTTGTCTGTCAGGCAATACCCACCCAGCCCAGCACATGGGAATCGTTCCATCGCTGAGTTGGCTGGGGAAGGCTCAACTGAACGCAAGAGCCAGCCATCATCCGAAGTTGTAAAGTCATGACTGGGAGCTTCCCGTCTATGAGGTCCGTTCCCGAAATTCTAATCCACAAGCCCACTCTAGTGTATGTACCTAGTCAGTGCTTGCCCCTACTTTCGGATTTTGATGCTCTGTCCTAAAGTAAGAAAAATCATCTGTCCAACTATGCAACCATGTATTTCATTGTAGACTCAAGAGATCTCAAGAGAACACTTTCTCGAGAAAACAATATCGTTTGGGCCTTAATTCACGCTACGCAAGAACTTGCGACAATTCTAGGCTGACTTTCGCACGGCTTGCTGAAGCTCGGGCTAAGGTATTCGTACTAAGTCAACTGGATCTATCAGGAACTGTAGAATGTAATATGACCAGGCTGCAAATCAATCCATGACTTGTCAGTATCTATAAAAGTATGAAATCTTAATGAACGTTGCTATTGGGACTATGAGAAATTCTCACAAACGTGTCCAAACTTAACTAAGTCCTCAGATAGGATTTTGGGAGCTTCCCAAACGGTCCCTTATCGCCGGGATCAACTCGCAGATAAGAGTCTCACGCAATCGCAGCTCGGAGCTTTGACCCCGGGCACTCTGTGACGTGATTCCTAATCAACCAAATGTATTGGAACATGCCTGGAGTCTGAACCCCTCGGCTTCCCTCTGTGAAGGATCATTGACTTTCACAACAAGGCAGTATCTCCTTTTGAGGCGGTCTTCAGACACCCTATTGATAGTAAGTTGTCTGGGTTCATATGACATCGCCAACTCGTTATTCGCACTTATGATGGTGTAATGAAGCAAGCAGCGCTGACGAATAACATAGCCGTGAGACACAGACCTAAGATTGCTAGTCACCCAGGTCGCACCCAACGCCATGGATGAAAAGAAACAGTTCATGTGTGACGAGACTGGCGATGAGGCCCAGTTGCCTCCTCGCAAGACTCCGTCTCCTGCAAAGAAAGCCGTTGTTGCTTGTTTCGCCCTGTGGCTCGTGACACTAACCTTTGGTGTCCGTCCTATGAAGTCATGCTATCATCAAATGAGAAAGCCATGGGGCGTGCCCCTTACCGTCGAGGAGAGGGCTCACAATATTCTATCTCATACTCCATTGATAGGTACGACCACCCTGTGCATTCTGTACGACACGATGAGAAGTGCTGACCGACCGTCATCGTAGATGGCCACAATGACCTCCCTATTCTCGTCCGAGGATTCTTCAACAACCACATCTACGAGAAGAACTTCACTGAGCCCTTTGAGAACGGTGGTCTTGTTGGCCACGTTGATCTGCCCAGGCTTCGCAAGGGTCAGAACGGCGGTGCTTTCTGGAGCGTTTACACTCCTTGCCCCGCTAATGGCAGCGACTTTTCCGATGAGAACTATGCTGAGAGTAAGTCTTGACCGTTTGAGTGATCTGGAATTTATAACTCTAACACCTGTGATCGTAGGCGTCCAGTGGACTCTTGACCAAATCGATCTCATGACCCGCATCAAGGACTCCTATCCCAAGGACTTCTCCTCAAGCGCGAACAGCGGCGCCGCTTTGGAGGCATGGGAGAAGGGCCAGCTCATCTCCCCTCTGGGCGTCGAGGGTCTGCATCAAATCGGCAACTCTGTCGCCAATCTCCGACGCTACCATGCCCTGGGTGTCCGCTACTCGACCCTCACCCACAACTGCCACAACAAGTTCGCCGACGCCGCGCTGCTCGAAAGCCCTCTGCGCAAGGCAGAGCCTCTGTGGCACGGGTTGAGCCCTGCCGGTCGCCGTCTCATTCACGAGATGAACCGTGTCGGGTTGATTGTCGACCTCTCCCATACAAGGTAGGTTTCGAGGACCCGTTGATCCCTACAAAGGATGGTTTCTAACATTTCTTACAGCGCCGAGACACAGATTGATGTCCTCGGGGGCAAGGACTGGGAAGGCAGTAAGGCGCCTGTTATCTACAGCCATAGCTCCGCATTCAGCGTCTGCCCGCACCCCCGCAACGTCAAGGATGACGTTCTGAAGCTCGTCAAGGAGCGCAACGCGGTTGTCATGGTCAACTTTGCGCCTGACTTCATCTCCTGCGTCGACTCCGGCAACGAGAACGGTCTGCCCACCTACGTCCCCGCCAACGCCACGCTTGACCAGGTCGTCAGGCATGTCCTGCATATTGGCAACCTTATCGGTTTCGACCACGTCGGTTTCGGCTCCGACTTTGACGGGATTGCGTCGGTGCCCAAGGGTCTGGAGGACGTGTCCAAGTACCCAGGCCTTGTTGCCGAGCTGCTGAGGCAGGGTTTGAGTGACGAGGACGTGGCAAAGGTCGTTGGCGGAAATGTTCTTCGCGTCTGGAAGGAGGTTGAGGCTGTTGCCGAGAAGCTGCAAAAGGATGGCCAGCCTGTTCTTGAGGATGATATCGCAAGCCCGAAGTGGTAGGGGGCAGTGCGCTGGAATCAGTATCAATGGGTTCATAGATGCCTCAAACTTTCGCTCCTGTGCGTATCTAAGACAATGGTGAAATTGGAACCGGAATTGATGGTACAAGTGGTATAGTTTTTCATAGTCATACATGTTTGGGCACACCACAGACCCATCTATGTTGTACATTCGGTGGTCATGCAATGAGCACCACCTCAAAATCTAACCCATTCGCTCTCCAAATACCCAGTCGACAGCCACCACAAAGGGCGTTTACCATCGTCTGTTCGCAGAATTGTGCTTCCTGGCCGACTCGATCTGGGTCCTCGTCCGCTGTCCTCTCACGGGGAGGTTCATGGCGTGTCTTCTTCCCCGGTAACTTCCCATATCCTTTAGTCTCATGACGTTCTGTTGAATGATCTTCCGCGCATCGCTTTCTATCGTCATTGTCGATAACTCTGCCGTAAGAGCCGTGACGGTTTTCGGTGGCAGAGCGCCGACTTTGGACATGGGGGAGATGGAGTATTTGGCCAAAATGCGGGATGATGTGGTTGGCCCGAGAGCGAAGAAAGACTCAAGCGCCTTCTATAAAGAGAATAATATCGTTAGCATCGTCGTATGTGGTGTTACAGCTGGGTCGTTATCGTTCGCAGGCGAAGGGGATGCCGTACCTTCACGAGCTTTTGCTCGGAAAAGTTGACTCCTAGAATGAAAACCTGTAGAGGGTCAGTCAGTTGCCGCTCCAGTGTCTGTCATGAGATATCCATCTTACCATTTTCTTCAATTTAAAACCTGAGTCCTCGAAAAGAGCGTCACTATCGTCGCCGCAGGCTGATCCGGTGCCTGCAATTGATGATGGGATCGCGAGACTTCGAAATCATCGATGCACTCACGGAGAGTCGGCGCCGGAAAATAGTGGATCCAATTGTAACGCGGCGGTGGCAGGTGCTGCACGTAGTCTAGTGACACCAGTGGCTGCCCGGGTGCATTGATAGCACTGATCCGCCCAGAAGGCGACCCTTTATGCCATGGACGCATCCACTTCCACGGATTGCCTCCCCCCATTGGGCAGTTGCGGCGACCAGGGTCCGAGCTCGACTTCCTCATTCGCGTGCTTCAGAGAGGGGAGTTTGAAACGTAGCTCTACGGTTCCGAGGGTCCCTCTATTTAACACACTGTCCCTTCTGGCGATAACCTCTCCTCCCTTCCCAGACGGTTCTTACTTGCATCCACAGAATCTGAATTTCTTTCCCCAATTGATCGAGTTCAGTGCCCAGTGTCCATCATGTTCAGCATTCAGAGACTCGTCTCTGCCCTCCTCCTCGCCGGAGTGGCTCTGGCCTTCTTCGCGCAGACCGCTGAGGCTGCCAAGGGCCCCAAGATCACCCACAAGGTCTACTTCGACATCACCCACGGCGATGAGCCCCTCGGCCGCATCACCATGGGTCTGTACGGAAAGACTGTCCCCAAGACCGCTGAGAACTTCCGCGCTCTCGCCACCGGCGAGAAGGGCTTCGGCTACGAGGGCTCCACCTTCCACCGCGTTATCAAGCAGTTCATGATCCAGGGTGGTGACTTCACCAAGGGCGATGGCACTGGTGGCAAGTCCAGTGAGTTGTTCTCAATCCAAACCGCTTTCACAGTTCTGCGTGATGACTGACGATATGGAAACTCCACAGTCTACGGCGAGAAGTTCCCCGATGAGAACTTCAAGCTTAAGCACTCCAAGAAGGGTCTCCTGTCCATGGCCAACGCCGGCAAGGACACCAACGGCTCCCAGTTCTTCATCACCACCGTCATCACCTCGTAAGCACACCTCGCCGACAACTACAAACATTCCATACCCACGAAGTTGCGCTAACTCTACAATCACAGTTGGCTCGATGGCCGTCACGTCGTCTTCGGCGAGGTCCTCGAGGGCTTCGACGTCGTCGAGAAGATCGAGCAGGCCCAGACCCAGCCCGGCGACCGCCCCGCCAAGACGATCAAGATCGCAAAGAGCGGAGAGCTGGAGGTGCCCCCTGAAGGTATCCACGTGGAACTCTGAGCACGTACTGTGACAACCCGTCGTCCCTCGCTGTCTCCTCGTTTTATCATCAACCCGACACTTTTTACACCATTCCACCTTGACTCTTCCCGCTGATGACCTCCCGAAATTGATGAAACAACACACAAAAACGTACTTGGTTTGCTGATGGCTACGCCCCCCTCGTTGCAGGCGAATACGGCACTAGCGAGTGGGCGTCAGGCTACTCCAACGAGGATACGCCGCTGGAGGTGGGCTCCGGCGAGGGCTGGTCCCTAATCCAGAAGGGTCTCTTCGGTGGTGTTGTTGTTGCTGCGATCGTCGCCTACATCAAGTTCAGCAAGTCCAGGGCCGCAAGAGATGTCGGCTACGAGAAGACTATGGCGTAAAGGGGGATTTGACAGGGGGAAGCGGGCATCGACTTGGCTCAGGAAATACAAGACAACAAATGCCAGCTAACAAGAAATGGCCAACACATGCATTTGTCAACTATATTCGAATGTGCAATTTGTCGTGATGTTGAAAATGTTGTCTATACTATACGTCTTGCATTCTCTTAAAGCATAGTCCAATAGCTGTAAAGCACCCATCCCAAAGCGCATCACGTGTGGGGTACCAAAAAAATTCCGTACTGGCCAAATTTCAACTCAGACACCCCTCTACATTTGAATAGCGAACAACCGATCATACCTGACGCCCCGAAGACAAAATAAGAGAAAAAATATGAAGCTGCTTAGTCTCAACTTTTTGACCTGCGCGGTCAAGGCCTGCAAGTCCTCCGCGGCCTCGTTCCCCCTCCACCCCAAGGACGCAGAGCTGGCGCAGGACGACATCGAGGTCAACCCCCAACTTCTCTTCAACGTCCTGCCCCGCTTAGACTGGGCCGCTCTGCGAACGAACGCAACTGAGGTAAGGCTCTCGTTCATACTTTATCTTACATCGTATTTTCCCTCATATTTTGGTCTTCCGTCTGAAGATGTCTTTTTCTATACATCATCCAAGCTCATATACGTCCACTACACCATCTCTTTTGTTTCATGTACGTGCAGATTGCTAATTAGTTACCTTAAAAGCTGGGCTTCCCCGAACTCCCCACGGAGGCCCCCTCGGCAGAGCAACTCGAGGGCGACGAGAAGATGCTCAAGGAACTGCACCACCTCCTCATGGAGACGCAGATCATGGAGGGCAAGCTCGTCTGCGGCAACTGCGGACACGAGTACGCCATTCGCGAGGGCATCGCTAACTTTTTGCTGCCGAGTCACTTGGTCTAAGAGGCAACGCTCCGATTATGGGGGACCAAGCTTGGAGAGATGATGAAGAATTTTGATTTGAGACGGCCGACGAGGCTGTAGTAGGCGTTCATGGCGTTTTTCTCCTCTCACAACAAAGCATGAAGGTTCTCTGTTGTGGGGGGAGGGGAGGTGGGCGGCAAACAGAGGAAGATGAAAAAAGGTCCATTTGTTATAGAAATACATCTCATGCCATTTGCGAGAAAAACACTACATTGGTCTCTACAGACCACAGGGCCCCTTTCCTGTGCTCTCTAAGTATCATGCCGATTGGTTCCTCCGCCTTTACACGAAACATGCCTGTCAAAAGCCAGCCGATAACTCCCGACGTTCTCAAATGAAATACACAGGTTGTTGAAGGAGGCACTCCTGGAAAAAAATGCCTGGCGGCGATTTTGATACACATCTACTGGGCCTTTTTGTGAGCCGCAGGGCCGTTCTCCTTCTCGAAAGCACCGTACGGGATCTCGAGGCTGGCGAGAGCCCTGATACCGACACCGAGAATGCTGAAGAGAACAATAGTGGCGATAATGGCGTGGAAGACGCCTACGGTCATGTCAGTCTCATTCATAGCACCACGAATCGACGAGACTCCATCACTCACCTGGGGAGAAGAAGACGTATTTTTCAAAAAGAGGCAGCTTGCTCCACTCGGTCTGGTTGTCGGCCCTCCTGACGTGTCGCAGGCTCGCCTCGTGGCGCTTGAGCTCCGCGTGCAGAGGCTCGGTGGTGAACTCGGCCTCGTAGGTGGGCTCCGAGGGGCTGGCGAGGTAGATGACGGTGTACGAATCCGACGCCTTGCGCAGCTTCTCGAGGCGCTGGCCCAGGGCGTGGTCGTTGTCGGCGAGTGTGGCGGCTCTCGCGCCCCGTCCGAGGGCAGCGAGCCTGGCCTCCTCGACCTCGACCGTCTTGCCCGCGCACGACTTCTTGATGTAATCAGCCAGTTTTCCGATGGGCACCTCGCCGACGACCTCGGCGACGCTGTAGACGCCGCGAGCGTCCTTGTCGGAGATGGCGCGGCACAGGTTGGGCGATTGGCAGTCGCCGCTGGCCGGGTTGCGGATGTCGGCCGCGTTGACGTTAGGCTGGGAGACGAGAAGGTAGCGGTCTGTCGGGCAGGAGGAGAGGAGACCCTGAACGGTCTTGACGACCTGGGACTGAGTCTGAAGCTGAGCGGGGTTGGACTTCGCGAACCTAAGGGGAAGAAAGGCATGTTAGCAGTGTTCGATGACGAGGATGGAAGGGTTCGGTGGTAGGTCGAAACGTACTCAGCGGTTGAGAGCATGATGAAGGGCGACGAGTCGGTGAAGGCCTGCACCGAGGCGCACAAGGCCATGAGGCCTGCTGTTCTTGATAGACGCATGGCTGGTTGTTGTGGTTGAAAGCTTGCCCGTTTGGATGCGATGGCTAACCTTCGGCGTGCTGCCAGGAGTTATGCTGCGGATTAGCTCCAGAGACGACGTAGCTTGGATACATGCGTCTATGCGAGCTCAACGTAATCAGCAACTACACCCACGCCCGCTTAAATACATTTCTGCCATCGCGATCCAACAAGGCCTCTTCAGGTCAGTTTCATCAAGGTCACTACCTGCCCCGCCCCTGCATATCGTTTTACAAGAGCGATGCACCTGCGGTGCAGCCTTAATTCATCAAAACGCCCGCCAGTTGTACTCACCTATAGCTTTTGATGCTTCAAGATCTACATTCTCATGGAATGCGGTATCGGCATTCCAACACAATCCACATTCATAATGCATATGAATGACCACTCGTTCCAATTTCTAATGGATATAGTGTAGCTCACTCCCGGGCTCCTCAAGGCTCCTCGAGGCTCTTCAAGAGTTCATGCATGTCAAGAAGGTATATCTGCACTGAGCAGCTCGCCGTCGTCGAGGGACAATTACGAGAGACTCTCATCGGGACGGGCAAGAAAGTCACGAGTCGGGCCGTACGCAGACCTTCGATAAACAAAACACAATTGTGAGAACTACTGGGTTACGACATAGGTAACCATCCGAACATTCGTGACCGTATCAAACAGCAGATTGACGTGAGCGGAGCTTCATGAACCTTGAAATCATCAGAGGAAATGTCAGCATGTCAGCATGCACGGCAGTCGAGGAATGATGCAGTGAAGCCCCCTCGGGATGTCACCTGCTGCTTTCGCTGGCAGATGCACGCCTAGCGGGCGAGACCTGGAGTCCGTTCCAGCGCATTTAGCTCTTCGGCTTGGCCCGCGTCAGTGGGCCCTTACAGAGGCTGCAGCGGCATGGTCCTGCAAGGCTGCCAGAAAAACCCCCCCAATGGAGTCGGATCCAGAAAATTTCACTGCGCCGCCGCCGCCAGAGAAAAAACCACCACGGCGAGCCAGTCAACAGTCCCCATCATCGACACATTCAACCAAACAGCCACGATGTTCGCCAAACCCCGGCCCAAGAAATCCGTGCTCAGTGCGCCCCCCTCGAAGAAGAGAAAGGCGGTATCGGCGATCGAGGAGGTCAACTTCGATTTCGATGCGCGGGAAGACTACCTCACGGGTTTCCACAAGCGCAAGCTGCAGCGGCAGAAATGGGCACAGGAGCAGGCAGCCTCCAAGGCGCGGGAGGAGAAGATTGAGATGCGCAAACAGGTGAGTGAGGCAACCGCGGCCCTTCCGTCTCCCCTTGCATACGCACACGCATGCTGCTGCCTGCACTTGCTCGTCGCATGTACTGATGGTGTTATCACAGACCAGACAAGAGCGCCAACGAGAAGTCGAAGACCACGTCAATGCCGTGAGCGCTCTACTCAAGGAGGCTCAGGAGGCAGACTCGGATGGGAATCAGGAGATCAACGGATCAGATTTCGAAGAGTGGGACGGCATCGACGAGCCGGCCAAGGATCAGACAGATATTGTGGACTACGAGGATGAGTACATAGACGAGGACCGCTACACATCGGTCAAGGTCGAGGCCATATCCGTGACGCGGGACGGTCTCGAAAAGATCCACCAAGACGGCGACGAGGAAGAGAACGACAGCCAAGACGAATCCAAGGCGGACAAGCAGGCATCTGACCAGCCGGCAAAGTCAAAGAGCCGGAAAGAGTGGCCCAAGAAGCAGAAGAAGAAGTTCACCTACGAAACAAAATTAGAAAGGTCACTGGGAGCGAGGAAGGCAAAAGCCAAAAAGGCAAGGTTCAAGAAAGATTAGTTGAAGGAGGGTATAATATCTCGCATTGGTTGCTGCAGCTGCTTGCCCAAGGAGTTGCCTCACGCCCAGCGTGGTCCGAGGTGGTTATGTGTAGATTCCCATGATGTCTGTGTCTGTTGAACAAAGACCAGGGGGGCATCTGACAGAACAAAGCTCTTTGTTGGCCGGGGTTACAAAAAAAGGAGTAAAAATAAGGCTGCTATAACTCGGTCGCGAACCGTCCCGTCATTTGCATTCCACCGCTTGTTGGGATAGCTAAGTCAGATCGCCAACACAGTGTCCCAAGCCAGGAGTCTATCATGTAGAAAAGCCTTGCATAAATGACACGCGCAACAAGGACCTTAGATGTTGCCAATCTCGGCCTGGAAGTCCTCGAGCTCCTTCTGGACCGTCGCGTACTTCTTGGCCATCTCCTCGTACTTGGACTCCCACTGGTCGCGCTCCGACTCGAGAGCCTGGACCTTGCGCTCGAAGTGGCCGGCCTTGACGTCGGTCTGTCGGAGCCTGTGAAAAGACGGTGTAAGTAATAAGTAATGCATCGGTCGGTCGTTCGGTGGGGCGGGCTTTAATGAACACGATGGGGGTCGGAGAGTGAAAAGGGGGTATCATCGATTCGGCAAACAGGGTCCAGAACGTACTTCTCGTTGGCTTCCCGAAGGGTCTTGTCCGCCTCCTCGGCCTCCTCCTCGAGGAGCTGGAGTCTGCGCTGGAGAGTCTCGTTTTGTGTGCCGGTGCCAGCGCTCTCGTCGGCAGCCTTCTTGAAGTCCTTAACTGCAGTCTCAAGCTTCTCGACTTCGCCCTCGAGCAGACCGTTCTTGTGCTGCAGGGAGGTGATCTCCTGCTCCTTGGACAGGTTCTCCTGCTCTAGAGACTTGACCTTGGTCTGGAGCTCCTCAACCTTTGCGGCGTTATCGTCGGCCTCCAGACGAAGCTGGTTCATTTTCTGATTGACACCGTCGTTGTCAGCATCGATGACACGACACATTGGGGATATCTTACCCCTCCAGACCGCCGGTAGCAGTCGGGTGGAGCCAGAGTCAAAATGGCAAACTTACCTCCTTGATACGGTCCATGATGAATAGCTGCGAGTTGCTTTGACGTTGTAGTAGAGTCGGTGCAGGTTGATTGCGATAAGGAGAGTTGCTGAAGTTGAGAACGGGAACGGGATCGGTGGATGTGGGATCGCAGCTGTCGAGGATGGAAACGGGAGGAAAGGGTGTGAGGTGTTGAAATAACTGCCCCTCTACATGCAAGTCCGCTCCATGCGACCTGTGGCGGACCACCCTCAGCATGCCAGCCAGCAGCCAGACAGGCCTGGTCTTCACACGCTGGAAGGAAGCTGCAATCGGATTAGCTCAGACGCGGGCAGTGGGGTCAGTCAGGTGGGGTTAGGCTGTGGCACGGTGCTTTACTGCTTTCCCACCTAGGTACTGCGGTAGAGCCTAGAGGTGAACTTTGTACGGGGGTTTCCGCAGGGTCTGAGCTTCTTTCGTCGTTGTCCCGACAACAACGCCCCAAACATACGGGTCCGTTTACGATCTCTATCGTCTCTTCAACCCATGACAGACTCCAAAGTGAAGGGATTGATGACGACAATACAGCACCACGCAATTACGATCCAGCACGACCAAAGAAGACGCCGAGTCAACGACAGAATCAACAACCCCTCTGGCTCTATGCAAAATGCTGGCCCTTCGTGACGAGAACGCGGTCAACGCAGCTCAAGCTGCTCGTCTGGCTCCCGGGAAAGGGCAGCTGGCTCCCAAGACCCCTGGAGCCCGGTACCCAAAG